TATATATAAAATGTTAATTTGAGTATATAAAATGAAGTATATAATTCATTTTAATATATATTTTGACATATATATTAATTTGAATTAAAATAATAAATTATTAAATAATATTTAAATTTTACAAAATTTTATATATTTGTGTACTAATTCCGTTGATAATGTAAATTTGGTTATATATTTATACACAAAACTCGTTTGATAATGTAAGTTCAACTATATATTTTATATTATTCTCATGTTGATGACATAAAATTAATCAAGCATTTATATATTAAGGTGATATGTCGGGTTCATAGACTAAGTTTAGGTGTCAACATGATAAACTTAACTTACATGATAACATTTATAATTACAAAATTAAGGAAAACGAATAGATGCAATTAATACAATCTCATGAAATAAGCAATTTATCCGAGATAAGAACAATTTGATATTATTATTAAGAATTTTTAATTTAATCGGTGAATTAAAATTTAATATAAATCATGAGTTATTGAATAAATATTTTTATCTATCTATTTATTTATCTATGTATAAAGAGAGAAGAGTTCAAACGATATCGATATAACTTTTATCAACTATTATACCGTTCAATAATTTTATATTAGATGTGAATTTTATCGATTTAACTGTTGAATTATAATTTAATATTATGTTATAAGTTTATATCAAACTTTGTTAAAATTGAACAAGAATTTGAAAGTGTAATCAAAGTGTTCACATTTTAATATATTTTAAAATGTATATATTATGTCAATTTTGTTCTATAAAAATAAAGTATTAAATCATCTTGAATTAATATAAAATTTTGTACATAATATTTAAAAATAAAGAATTTTTAATTTAATAATAAATTTTAAAAAATCATATTTAATTAAAAACTATTAAATAATATAATAATTATTAAAATTTACATCAATATTGTGTCAACCCTTCTTTTATATATATCTGTGTGTGATCAGTTTTTCATAGTAAGCCTAATATGATGGACAACTTTTTTTTTGTTAGGTGTTTATTAATGTGAAGAAAGAGTGATAATTCACATTTTGACTTTTGGTTTCAAACAAACACTAAGTTTTCATGAGCATTAAAAACAATTAATTTTGTTGAAATTGATTCTTCGTGGATCTTGCGAGAATGACGGAAGAGAGATATTAATTGGCAACAAGGTGGCAATACATCATCAGCATTTGCACCGATTTACGCATTATGCTCACTCTAATCATGTCAGATTCGAGGAAAACATGGAAATGAATGAGAACAAACAGCAATTAGAGAAACAAATGAGCAGTTAATTCTATATTATATACTCCATAATACCTATGCTTCTTACCTGCCCCACCCCACCAAATATTAAATCATACATGGTAAACACAATAACTTCTTAATTAGGTTGTTCCACTTCCACATTGGACTATACATAATTTTCATTATTCCCCATAATTAAACTATATCCTATCAATTATATAAACAGAAACCCAACTCTTTCTTTCCTAGACCTATAGCCAATAATGGAAAACCTTCGACCATTGATTTACAAAAGCCCCACAAGGAGAAGCTCTAGGAGATCAACAAAGTATCTTGGTGTGAGAAAAAGGGCATGGGGAAGATATGCTGCTGAGATTAGGAACCCTTATACGAAAGAGAGACACTGGCTAGGCACATTTGACACTGCTGAGGCTGCCATAGCTTATGATATTTCTTCTATCAACATTTGTGGCATTATTAATGCAAGAACTAATTTTCATTACCCTTTTCTGTCTCTTCCACCACCTCCTCCACCGCCACCACCCACCCCGGGGTTGGATCCAAGTGTTGGAGGTTGTCCAGAGATGAATGGTGTTTACGAAGGCGATGATGAATGTTTAGTCATTGCTTCCATTTTGCAAAGCTTTTCTAATTCTGGTAACTGTTCTTTCTAGTTCTTGGCTCCAACAAGGCCTAAAACCCCTTCCCCTTAATAGTCCTAGCTGCTCAATCCAAATAATATATTTTCTTTCCTTGCTGTATTAGGTGGTCCTTTTTTTTTTTATTATTTAAGGTATTACTCGATTGAAAGATTAATGTGCCTAAGATATTGAAATTTATATAATAAATTAATTTTTTGATAAATATTTTTTAATAAAATACATGGACAAAAAAATTATCTCAATAGACATTATTTTTAGAGAATACATAAAAAGTTTTTACTTTTATGAAAATTGACATGGGGAATGTTGATTTTTAATGTTTAATTTTTTATTTAAAAATATTATTTTTAAAAATATTATTTCTCATATATAATTTTTGCATAGATTTCTTATAAAATGATTCTTATGAAAAAGTAAAAAATCAATTTTATTAAAATAAAAATGTCATATTACCTTTATCTTCTTAATTAATATGGTAAAAAAAAATTCTCATGTAACATTTAAAAACATTTTTAAAAACCCTTACGATTAATTAAACAATTTTTCATAAAGTCTAATCATTATAATTTTGAAGCATAAAAGAATTTTTCATCTACCAATAATACCATAAGACTTTGTCCAAAATTTGTACGCATTTAATTTCTTGTTACTTGAACTGAACTAAAGTGGCTAAATATTCTAATTATTCCTATATATAAATTATGTTTGATTATAAAAGAAAAGACATACAAATAACAAGTGTCTTTACTTCTTCTTTTTTTTCTACCACTGCCCATTGAATGACAGAGGTTTCCATTATGTTTACGGATCTAACCTATTTGAATGGTTGACACTGTTGCTGACCTCTTGATGAATTCAAATGATATAATTAATGGTTTGCTGACCGTTAAGTCTCAATTTTACTTTTTTTTGGACAAGGCTTAATGAGCAATTCCACTCGTTCTTTGAACCATTGCAATATAATTGTTCTCTTTTTAGTTCATTTTGTGTGCAGATATAACTAACCCAAATTTAGCTAACAATACATTAATACACCTCATTTTTTGTGCAGGTATTGAGCTAGAGAATTGAGGATTGAAGACTCTTAGGATTGGAAATATAAGAAGCTAAGGAGCAGAGCAGGGTGTCTGCGCCGGGCGCAAGATGACCCGCGCCGGGCGTGATCGAGACAGAGAGTGACTCAAAGTCTCTGGAAGACATTGCGCCGAGCGCAAAAGGAATTGCGCCGGGCATGTACTGAGGCAGAAAATGCTTAACTTCTTGGAAGGCCCTGCGCCGGGCGCTACGACTTATGCGCCGGGCGCGTAAACCCTAATTTGACTCCCCAAGCTCGTATTTGAAGGCATTTTCGGGGACTTTTCTCCCCATTCACGCAGGGGCGCCTCCAGGAGCTGCGGAAGGGATTCCCAGGGCTTGGGACCGTTCGTGTGTGGGTCTTTCCTTCGATTCTTCATTTCTCCCTTCATCTCTATTTTGTATTTACCCTCATTGTTGAGTGGTTCTATCCATTTTTGTGGGGTTAGATGTAACCAACGTACTCTATTGTAATCCTTACGTTTTTAATGATATATATACATGTTGTTTCATTCTTTGTTGTGTACGTTTCGATGTTTAATGCTTGCTTTGAATTGATCACCCTTTGCATGATTTAAGGTTCCATTGAGTATTGGGAAATACCATTGAAACTAGTTCTGAAACATATGCCTAGTGGGGATTGTATCTAGGGATAGAGCTTGACTCATTAGTAATCTTAAACCCTAGCCCGTAATGCGGGTGTAAATATTGGGTACTAAAGGGATTGATATTCAATATCCGCACCTAGGCTCTTGCTCTAAGGGATTAGGTTTGAGTAAACTTATGGGTTAACTGAGCAATGTATGTAACAAGAGATTAAGGATTCATTAGTGTAACGTTTGGTGAAGTCTGACCCCCACAACCTCACAATACCATTATACCATTTCTTACCTTTTCCACTCACAATCAACTATTTTTGTAGTTTAACATTCCAATAGTCACAACCTTGAATTCACATGACAAACTATGAAATTGGAATCATTCTTTAGTCACGAATAGTTAATAAATGTTTATGTTACTTTCTAATCCCTGTGGATACGATAATTTTACTACTTGAACGGCCGGTATACTTGTCGTGTTTAAGACCGTTGATAGAATTAAACTGATTTACAATTATAACAAAAGTATTTCAACGGAAATCTCAACACTGACATATGATAATGTTCGCTGACAGGATAATTTTTTAATTTTTTATCAGGCTGATGCCAGAATATACGAATAAATATGCAAATTTGAGGGATAGTTCATGGCATCCCATTCGAAAATTGTTGCTTATGCTGTTATGCATTAATGGAAAAATAATTAAAAATATTTCTAAAAGTGTTAAATTATGAAAGTTAATTATTAATATTTCACACAGATAATATAATTATTAAAAAAATATAATCATATTGTAGAATTTGACACTCACTTCGAATGTTTATATATGTAAGTATGTATCTAACTCGGTATTGTTAAAGATTAATTTATAAAATTAGTGAAAGTTAGGACAAAAATAATTATACATAATTTTGGATACATGAATAACGAAAAAAATATAAAAAATAAAATTAAAATACTCTAATTTTACATGGATTAATAACAATAATTTCATATTATAATGAGATAAAAAAAATCATGCTTAATTAGACTTTGTGCTATTCAAGTTTCATAACTTTTCCACATTTGTCTCTCACATCTTGCTTACCATATCATATTTTTGTAATTTTGCACTCATTTTGCCGGTCGTAAAATGTTTGTTAAATTACATGTAGAAAATATTTAATATACAAAAAATAATTTTACTTTCTTATAAATATGACGTATATGATGTCAAAATGTTAATTTTTTGACCAACCAAACTAGAAGTGTTTAAAATTGAACTAATCCAAAAAGAAAATCTACAAATAAATAATAAAAAAATTGAAAACTAATGAAATATCACAAATTAACAATTCAATTCAATTTGATTTTCAAATTTTCAAAATAGTGTAATTTGATTTGATTTTTGGATTGGAATGTGAAATGCTTCAAATCAAATCAAATCGCACTTATTTATAAAAAAAATTCAAATAGATGGTGAAGAAATATAAAATTGATACATAACATAAAAGGTATTTTATAAAATTATAAATTATTAAACTAAATTTTAAAATAAAAATTATTTATATCGTTCAAAAATTATTATTTTTTTAGTGACAAACTATATATGTAAGAGAAAAATTATTTAATATGATAACTAAAATTGTATTGAAGAAATATTTTTACTAAAATAATAAAATAATAATTGGTGTTAAATATATTAAGTGACTAAAATATTTTAATATTTATATACTTTTAATTTTATATTTAACATAACATAATATTGTATATTTTTAGTTAATTTTTGAATAATGAATTTTAAAAACTATAAAAATCAAATCAAACTAAACTATAAAAATTATTAGTTTGATTTGATTTAAATTTCATAATTCATTCAAATTAAATAAACTGAATCATACATAATTTTCTTGTTTGTTTGGAGTGACTTTTAAAGTAAAAATTGAACCAAATAATTATACCACAAAAACCCCTAAACCAAACAAATTTTCATAATCATGTAATGAAAAGGGTTATCAACTTTTGTGTAACAAACATAGCCTAATTGACATAATTACACGTACACGGTGGATTAAGTTTATTTTTTTTAAAAAAATTAAAAGATAAAACGGTTTAAAAATTTATAATTATCATTATACTTTAACACCATTTTTTAAGAACCATTTTATTTTTAAGAAGAAAAAAAATTAATAATCCAAGTATATATGTAATGGCGGCAATTCATTATTGACATATCATCACTTTGTTTATCATTTAAAAATCATTTGACGATTGGATGAATTAAATACGCAAAATTGCAAAAAAATAAAATGAAAAAAATACAAATTGCAAAAAAAAAAAAATTGTGACAAAATTGTTATTAAAATTAAGAAATTTAAGTGGTATAATTACACAAAAACCTTGAAATTAGATTTATTAGGAGACAAATAAATCATATTATCTATACACTAACTAGGTTATCAAGATTGTATGTGGCAATGGGAGTTGCTTATAAGTAACCCCATTGCAGATGCTCTAAGTAGTGGATGATTGGTATCTTTAATTTTGTGTTTTAGTTGAGTCTTTGAGATTGGTGAACTAGGTCGATCAACTTGCCTCCTATTATAGGCTTGATCGGCATCTTGACGATGTACTAGGTTGGTCATCATTTGATCTATGAGAAAGTAATCAGTTACTTATAGATCTATAAAGGTACAATAAGTAATTTCATGGCTAAAGTCCATATATATATATATATATAAACTTGATAGATTGACATTTAGTTTATACTAAAGGTCAACCACATGCTTATATGAAGATACACAACTCTTTAGTTTCAAGTCTAAAAGACAAATAAATTAATTAGTTAAGTCATCTCATTGACCATTTATCATTTACACTATAAGAAATGTCAGATATAGTGACATAAAAAAATATCAGTATAGATATAATATATGTATATATCTATATAACATATATAATTACACATAATTTTAGTATTTATTTTAAATAAAATTTAATAACATATTTTATATATTATTATAATTTATATTTATATTTTTTAACAATATAACAAAATATATTGTATTTATTGTGGTATTATAACTATCGACACTTAATTAACCTTAGCTAGAGTAGCATAAGCATGTAAGAATGTGGTGGGTCAGTCTCGAGCCTGTGAGGGTACACTGTCGTCAATACTCTTTCTTTTTAATCTCTTTTGTATTTAATTTTATCTCTTATAACTCTTCTATTATTATTTTTTTTTCTTTATCTCTCCTTTTTCCAATCCAATCTAACTCCATTTTGGGATGGATGATGGATGTATAGCACTCCATCAAATATATATAGCAGTGATACTTGAAAAAAAAAAAATTTCA